ACCCCCACACCCACCCCCAACCCCTCAATTTTTTATTTTCAAAAACAGTGCAATTAGGGATTTTTATTACAAGTGGGTGATATATGGGTATATATGGATTCTCATGTTTACTCATTCTGTCCATACATAAATAGGTTGAAGTTCATATTTACCCATTTAAGTAAATATGATTGATCCATTTAATTCAACATGGAAAAAATGGATTCATTTAACTTATTTGGGCTGAAATTGTCACCCCTAGTCAAGAAAATAAGACTCAATTCAATTTAAATTTATTTGGATCAAAACGAGTCAAATAATAGGTAAAAGAATGGGTCAAGACCCAACCTAATTCATTTTTTACTAAATTTAATTGTTTTATTTGTTCTTTTCAAATATTTTAGTACCTAATAAATTAAAATTATTATTTTTCTTTATTATGCCTCTATAGAACATATAAAAAATAAAAAATATTTTGATAAGATTTCTCATGAATCAATTTGGGTTACATATCAACCCAATTTTTAATGGATTGAAACTAATTGAGTTGAAATAGTTTGAACTAATTAATAGTCGGGTCAATAACCTACTCAAACTTAAATGAGGTGGGCGATTTGAGTTTAAATTTTTCATCCCTAATCAAGTCTACTCAAGATGATGTTACAGGAACTAGTTTAAAATTATGCCAGTTAAGTTAGTTAATTCCTAAATGATCACCCAAGTTTTAAAAATCGTCTGATAAAATTACTTTTAATTTGTTTCTTTTCTGATCATAAAATCATCTAACTATGATTATTTCATAAAAAATTACTAAACGCGACAAAAACTCCATTCACTCCTAATTAACATGACACATCACATTAAAACATTATATTTTTTTAAGGGAAATTTTCTCATATAGTCACTCAAAAATAATTTAATTATGCTCCATAGCTATAGTTTGCTAATTACGAATTGTAGCTACATGTTAGAGGGAGGAGAGAGGCGAGCGAGATTGGGAGAGGGAGAAGAGAGGCGAGCAAGAGAGGGCAGAGAGTGGAGATAGACGAATTGTATATGTATATCTATCAAATAATTGTATATATGTAAGTAGTATACATATGTATTGTATATCTGATGAGCGATATTGGGAGAGGGAGGAGAGAGACGAGCGAGATTTGGAAAGGGAGGAGAGAGGCGTGCGAGAGAGGGTAGAGAGTGGAAAGAGGCGAACTGTATATGTATTTATATATAAGATAATTGTATATATGTAACTGATATACATATGTATTTGTATCTGGCGAGCGGGATTGGGAGAGAGAGGAGAGAGGAGAGAGGCGAGCGAGATTGGGAGAGAGGTGAGTGAGAGAAAGCAGAGAGTGGAGAGATGCTAATTGTATTTGTATATATGTCTTATATATATATGTATAATTTGTATTTGTATATGTATAAAAGACAAAGACACGAATTACAACAAAAAATAAGCTGCGAGCCGTAATTAATTCAAACTGTAGCTATATTAACTAATTAACTAGTATATGCTTGCTTATCCGCATAATTTCCCATTTTTTAATAAGAAATCTATTTAATAACTAATATACATCATAACCATTTAACTCAATCCAGCCCATGTCTTAACCCAATTTTATACCTGGTTAAAAAAGGTTCAAAATGCATCCATCGATAAATATGGATTTTTGGCAACTACTAGCAATTTCAGAGTTTCAAACTTACTTTTTTCTTTCTTTTGCCTCAATAATATATGTGTGCGCTTACGTGCATTTTAACTTGTGGATTTAACATATATATGCGCGCGTGTGTGTATGTGTGGGTGCATGTGTGTGTTAATCAGTTAAATATATCTCAATTTGCGGCTGATAGAATGTATGTGCCCATTAACAGTCAATGGATCAGGTCTCTTGACAGAATAACAGTGTAGAAAATAAATAATTTAAAGTAAATCAGACACAAAAGATTTTACGTGGAAACTCTCTTGCTCAAGGAAGGAGAAAACCACAATTTGTTTTCACAAGATTTTCAACTCAACTCTATTTCACTCAAAACTGAGCAAAGATTTAGATTACATACCTAGTAATCTAGGAATTAACGTAATAATCCCCCCCCCCCTTACAGTAACAACTCTGTTACCCAACAAGACTAAGCAACACATTTGTTTCCCACTATACCAACTAACTCTAGCTGATATAGACTTCACGATCCGAACATAGCTAACTCTAGCTAAACTTCGAAATGATAATCAAGAACTTGACACCAACCTAAATCCTTTATAGCTTAGGAATAGATCTTACAAGAACGAGCATTGAAATCTTGTAGGTCTCTTGTTGTTCTTCGAGTAATATTTCCTTGAGAAAAAATGACTTTTGCTTTCAAAATTTCTAATTTGCAAAAACTTCATTGTGTCAATATGGAATGGACATTTTATGGATTGGACACAAACCATTGAAGCAATACCATTGGCTGAGAGTTTGGCACTGCAGAGGACGCACACCAACCACAACTGGTGCTGCAAAGTTGCAGTTGTAGGTTTTTGACAGCTGTCATTTTCATGCACGGAACTCTCAATCTCTTTTGGGATCTGGTCCCTTATTAGATCCCAATATTTATTAAATTATCAAAATTTTAGAGTCAGTTCAAAATAACATCGGCTATATTTAGTGTTCTTGTTGAATCAATTAATTTAATTAGCAATTTGGATAAGTGATGGAAAATCATGAAAACGAAGGACTTTGGGATATAAGACATTGGCTGGGTTGGATTAAGTGAGAATGATGTATATTAGTTAAATAGATTTATTATTTAAAAAATAAAATTTTAATGTGACATGTCATGTCAATTAGGAGTGAAGGAAACTTTTGTAGTGTTTGATGTTTTTAAAAATAAAATAATAGTTGAATAATTTTATTATCCTAAAAGAAACAAAAGTACTTTTAAAAAATAGTTCTCAAGATTTGGATAAACATTCAGAAAATTATCTTAGATGTCAATTGGTTAGTTATTAGAACCTTAGAATAGTAAACTTATATATAAAAACATCACCTACAATATTATTGATGACCAGTTGACCACCAAAGGATGTGGTGCAGTGGATGATGCTGCTTTACTTAACTAAAGGTAGAGCAAACATGATATTTTATTTATACATTCAACAACATATATAGATCACAACGATATTATAATAATCGGTTGAGGCTATTTTTATGGTGAACACCCTAATTCACATGCTCGTAGCCCTAAATATGTTGTGCCTCCCAACTCTACAATGTAGAATGTATCACTAATCAAGTCTAAAATAATAGTAAACTATGACCTACCTCGAAGTTGAGTTGTTGCCCCAATTTTCATGCAACTTCGCTTCTGTTTGGTGATCTGGTTTTGGTTTGGTGAAGAATTCGAAGGGAGACTCGGTATAACATCTTACAGAAAAATGACAGCTATACAAATTAGTATATTTTACATATTTTTTGTGTTTCTCACACACTTTAACAAGGTGAAAATAATTTTTTTGTCACGTTATCTTTTGAGGTTAGTGATTCTACTTTAAATAGTATAGGCTTCATAGATATACAATTTTGCGTAGTCTTTTAGTATTCCATTTCAGATGCTTTATTTAAAATTTTATGTTTCATACTCAGTATATAATTTTGAGATTCATTAAACTGTTTTAAACTATTTTTTAGTTTTGATGCTTGTGTATGCTTGAGTTAGTCTTCTATTTAGTAGTAAGTCAGGACAAGGGTTCACTTGGGGATCAACAATGGTTCTCGAGTGCCGATCAGGTCTAGGGTGTAGGCTCGGTGCGTGACATAACCATTCAGATTCAGACCTCCAATTAAGTGCAAACAAATGAAACAAATGAGACAAGAGCTCAAAAGATTTGGCTAGCGTTTGGCCACAAATTCCCAAATATTATTGGTAAATTATTTTTGGGTGAAGTTTTGGTGAAGTTTCACCACCATGCGTCTGTCCACCAATTTTTTCAAGAATATTTGACTATTTCTAAAAATATAATTTATATCCATAAATTTTAAAAATTATTAAAAATACCCATAAGTTTGTATTATCGTTTTATAATGAACATGTTCTGTTAAAAAATAACCTTATAACATAATTGATAACAATCAACAATAACAAAATAACAATATGCAGGGTAAGAGCAATACATTAATCGCATACTGAAACTTGTTACTCATTCATTTGGAATTATAACTCATTAAAAATAAATTGTTCTTTTTTCTCAATCTTGTCACTCAAATTATAAATCAAACTTTTTTCAGGTATTTGGGAACTTGAGCTGTTTGCATAATATATTTGCCAAGTTATACATCCAAACACCACTTTCCAAAAAATTTCAAGTTTTTTCCAAATATATTTGTGACCAAATGGGTCCTTTGTCATTTGAAGGAGTGAAAATGTTATATTTTGAAGTTTTGGGGCAAAGTGAAATATAAAAAAGCATATGAAAGATTTCACGGCGGTCTCCAAAAATTCAAATTAGGGTCTGTGTTGAATACCAATCTTTGCTCTCTCAGTGGATTCCAATGTCTGTTATGTACAATGAACTCTTCTCTTCTCTGATTTCCGACATCAAATCCTACAATGGCAAAGACCCTCTTCTCCCTTGGCTCCGGTAAGCACCCTTTCAAACAAAACTCTAAATTCTTTTGAATCCATTTTTCTAACTTCTCATTTTGGTTTGATTTGATTTGATAAGAGGAATTAAGAAGATGAAAGAGTCACTTCCTCCGCAGCTGCTCAAGGAGAAACTCCCAAGATTTCTTCAGAAATGTGCACAAACTTTTGAGACCGATCGCCGTTATGCTAATGATATGCGTTATCTTCGAGTCTGGTTACAACTGGTAATTTTCTTTTTGAAATGTAGTGAAATTATTGAGTTTATTGGAGAAAATATATTCGTTATACTTTGCAAATATTAATAATTTTAAAAAATGAACAATTTCATTGATTTGCTTTACATTTTGAGTCATTAACTATACTCAAATTTTCATTTATTTTTTTGTTTATTTAGATGGACTATGTGCACGACCCAAAATCGGTACTTAAAGCTATGGAGTCAAATCGTATCGGGATGAAAAAGTCTCTGTTTTACCAAGCATATGCTCTTTATTATGAAAAGATTAAAAAGTTTGAGGCTGCGGAGAAGATGTACCAATTGGGTGTGCAGAAGTAAGTAACTAATAGCTAGTTGTGATTTTAAATTTATTGATTTTAAGAGTACCTTTATTTGACATTCTTTTTGCATCCAAATCTTTTTTTTTTTTTTTTTTTGATTATAGAAATGTGGTGAAAGAGTTGTTGACAAATGCTGTGTACTGATCATTTCACATTCAGTTCAATCGACATTCCAAATTGTTGTCGCATTTCAATGAAAAGGATTATTCATTGATTTGCATTTGTTTAGGGGTAAGTTAAGGGAAGGAGGCAGCCTTGGAGAAATGGTAAAGTTGTCTTTCTGTGACCTGTTGTCATGGGTTCGAGTCGTAGAAGCAGTCACTAATACTTACATTAGGGTAGACTGTCTACATCACACTCCTTCGGGTGCATCCCTTCGCTGGACCATGCTAGCGCAGCTTTGTCAACCGGGCTGCCCCCTTTTTTTAGGGGGTATCTCAAGCCATATTGTTCTCTAGGGATATGTTAACCCTTTTGGAAAACCTTGTTCATTTTGTCATACTTCGTGAAGATTAATTATCCTTTCAAAAGTGCATTGCAGAATTTAATCGTAGGGTGCAAACCAAATGTAACCCTCTGACAAAACCAGCAGCATAAGCTGCGAAACAATGTACTTCCTCCATTAATGGAGGTTGAGCTTTCACCAACAATCAGAGAAGAAGAAGAGAAAAGATATTATTGAGAATGTGAAAACTAAACTGTAACCAATACAATGTATGTGTATATATACACACTGATAGAGTTTTCTAACAAACTCAACTGACTATGAAATTGTAAACTTGTGACTCCTAACTAACTAACTAACTATGTGAATGAACAGTAATTAACTAATTCTGTGAATTGAACAGTACACTAAACTAACTAATCTTATCACCCCCCCTCAAGTTGGAGGTGAGTTACATACAGACAACTTGCTCAATAAATTAGTATGCTTGACTCCAGTTAAGGCTTTAGTAAAGACATCAGCTAATTGCGCATCTGTGGGAATGTATTGGAGTGTGATCAATCCTTGCTGCAGCTTATTTCTGACAAAATGACAATCCACTTCTATATGTTTAGTTCTCTCATGGAAAACTGGATTCTTAGCAATGTGCACTGCTGCTTGACTATCACAAAAAACATGTATAGGTAAAGAACATTTTACCGATAGCTCATCAAGTAATCTTTCCAGCCATACTATTTCACCCACAACTTGTCTCACAGCTCTATACTCTGCTTCTGCTGAGGATAGTGACACTGTGGGCTGTTTCTTAGACTTCCAACTAATGGGGCTATCACCCATGAGAACCAAATTGCCACTCACCGACTTCTTTGAATTAGGACAAGAGGCCCAATCTTAGTCACAATAAGCACTGATGGTGAGGTCAGATTTATTAGAGATGAAAACTCCTAATGTAGGGTCCTGTTGTAGATATCTGAGCACATGATAGGCTGCCTTCAAATGGGGCTCTCTAGGAGATTGCATGAACTGACTGAGGTGCTGCACACTATATGCTATATCCATCCTTGTGTTGGTGAGAAAGTTAAGTTTCCCCACTAGTTTTCTATAGTGAGTAGGATCTGATAGTGGTGTGCCTTCTGTAAGTCTCAGCTTTTCATTAGAGTCCAATGGGGAAGCAGTAGTTTTGTAACTCAGAGAATCAAATTCTTTCAAAAGATCAAGAGTAAACTTCCTTTGGGATATAAGAATACCATCCTGTCTGTACAAAATTTCCAGACCAAGAAAATAATGCAGCCTGCCCAAATCCTTTATTCTGAACTGATCATGTAAGAACACCTTTAAAGAAGTGATCTCATCTATATCAGTCCCAGTTAGAATGATATCGTCAACATATACTGCAACAAAGACCAGGGAGCACCCATTCTTCCTATAAAACAGTGAATAATCACTGTTAGAATGAGTGTAACCTTTTGAGTAGAGGCTGCTGGCCAGCTTGTCATACCACTGTCTGCTGGCCTGCTTTAAGCCATACAATGACTTCTTCAATTTACAGACCATATTACTACTGTCCACTGCCAGTCCCTGTGGTAATGCCATGTAAACTTCCTCATTTAAATCACCATGAAGGAAAGCATTGTTAACATCCAATTGATACATGTTCCAGCCTCTCTTGACTGCTAAAGAAATCAGAGTCCGAACAGTGGTCATCTTTACCACAGGTGAGAATGTCTCATTATAATCTACTCCAGCCTGCTGAGTGTACCCCTTTACCACCAATCTAGCCTTGAACCTCTCTATATTACCATCGGCCTTGTGTTTAATCTTGTACACCCATCTACACCCAATAACATTCTTCCCTTTAGGGAAACCAACTAGTTCCCAAGTGTCATTTGCATACAAGGCATCAAATTCCTGTGTCATTGCCACTTGCCA